ATTTGTCCTGTCCAGCTTTCCCTATTATTTATAAGGTTCCTTGCTTCTAATAGGAACTTAAATAAAACTTTTCAAGTAATTTTAGGAAAATGTTCACCTCCAGCACCTCATATGTATTTTTACTCCCCCTTGGTGAGTCTTTGTTGGGGGTTAGGATTTTTCATTTTATTTCTTTCTCCCATGGAATTTTGTCCCGTTTGTTTTTAAGAGAGCAAGAAGGACCTGTACTTAAGAGAGATAAAAGATGCAGCCAAGGGGAAGGGGGAGGAGTGCAGCTGGCTGCACTATCTGAGGGGCATTCTCTTGGGAAGGGCAGAGACACCTTGAGATTTTGGGCTGTGGGCAAGAGGCTGGGCACAGCTCCTGGTTCTCTCTTGCTGTTGGCACTGGGGGAGAACGGTTGAGCTGTTTCTTGCTGTGGGAAGAATTCACTGCCAGTGCCAGAGCCCAGCCCTGTACTGCTTCTTCCCTACTGTGTGTGAGCTTTTGCTCGTAAGACTAGCTGCTGGACTGGGGCATTAGCAACACCCTTCCTCACTGGAAAGGACCCTCACCATCGTCTCGGGGTGAGGAGGAGGAGGGGGGAGTACGTGACTCCAAGCCCCCAAACTTCTCCCCTACTGTGTGTGAGCTTTTGCTTGTAAGAACAGCTGCTGGACTGGGGCATTAGCAACACCTTCCCTCACTAGAAAGGACCCTCACCATTGACTCTGAAGAGTGTAAAACCCTTCAGTGTAAATGGTCAGGGGTGAGGAGGAGGGAGGAGTATGGGACTCCAGGCCCCCGAGCCACCTCTGAGGGAGCATCTCCCAGCTGTGTTCAGGAGCTGGGCTGCCACTGCCCAGCCCTGCTGCAGCTCTGTGTTTTTCCCTGCACTGTAACCCCACACCCTGCCCGCTGGGACACCCCAAAGCTCCTGCTACAGTGCAAAGATTGTATATCATTTGTTTCCCCCCCACCCAGGGATCTTCTTGCCTCTGCTGTTCCAGCTGCCACTCACAGATTCCTGCTACAGCTCCTTTTGTCCCATCCAGAGGGGCACCAGGACCTGGCACTGAGACCGGCTGCTCCCCGTGAGTTTTGCAGAGGGAGCCGCCTCCGCGCTCCTCCATGCCCTGAGCCGCCATTGCCGTGTGAGGGAGAGGCGGCCGCGCCGCGCCACAGCGCCCCCTGCAGCCCCGGGGGAATCATCGCACCCGCCCTGCCCGGCCCGGAGCCAGCAGCGCCCCTGCTGGCTGTGCCCGGAACTGCACCCAAGGGGAAACTGCCTGAGGCCGGGACTGGGTGTTTGCTTCTGTTCGCTGCTGCTGTTTGCCTTGTTATACACGCACATATGGCTAAATGACTGTTATTCCTTTCCCATCTCTCTGCCTGAATGCCCCATAATTTCAAAGTTAAAATAATTTGGAGCGAAGGTCGTCATATTCTCTATTCCACCCTCCTTGGCAGACACCTGTCTTTCAAACCACGACAGTATCACACACAGAGTGTGGTATCTGACATCTGTCCTGCTGAGAAAGTCAAAATGGTGAGAGCTCTCTCCTGTGGCAGAGAACAGAGAACATTAAAAGCATCCTGAAAGAACAAACCTCTTTCCAAGTGGTTACATGAGAAAGCAGTGTGAACAACAAAGAAATCTGAATAGCAGGGAGAATATTTTGCTCACAGGCAAACTGAAAACTGTATTTAGAGTGAACAGTAAACCATCCATGTGTTGTCTATATTATTCCTACACTGTATCCAAAACACACCACTATTCCAGCTACTAAGAATATTTTTCTCTCAAATTTTTATTTGCATCCAGAGAGAGGAGTGTTTTTGCTTCCAGTTTACACCTTTCTTGCTTCTGCAGAAAGGTATGAGAATGACCCAAGCAAGGTTCAATGTCTGAAAGTTTCTGTGCCCAAGACACAAAGAATGGAGCTAGAAAGACTCTGGCAGCACCAGACAGGACTCCCAGTCTCATTCCTTCAGTGGATTGGCTTTCCCAGATCCAGCAAGAATGTGACAGAAGGAGAAGTTCAGGACAGTATCAACATTTCTTCATTACATGATCCCTTTACAGCTCAGCCCCCTGAATTCACACATATCAAAACCTCAGACTTGTCCTTGCAGAAATCCTCGGCGTTTTTCCTATGTGGTGCCCCACATGAGAAAGTGGGGCACCACATGTTCTAGTGCCAGAATTCCTTGCCCTCAGGCCCTTTACAACCTCTGGGCACAGCACAGCACAGCAACCTGACCTGGGCTTTATTTAGTACTTTCCTGCCAAAGTGGCACAGGGAATGGGCTGCCAGTTGCAGGTCAGATGGCTCTGGAGGGGATGTGGATGATGGATTTCCTAATAATATTCTTTTTAATTTCAACATTTTATTTGAGAGGGTAAATGGGACTGTGTTTCACTTGCTCTTCACATAAACCTTTATACATGTTTTGATAAGATGATAAATGTACTCTTTTTCTCGCTTTTTCCTTAAATAGTATCAAACTCCACAAGAATGGACAATATTAAATAGCTTTTTGTACTACTGAATCCTTCTGGGTTTTTTTATATAGCATTAAAAAGAAAATGTAACAATCATATTCCCGCATCTGCTGCATATATTCTGACCAGCCTGTTCTGTTTCCCCCGAATAATAAAAAGTTCCTGTTAAAATTAGATCTACTGATGCAAACTGAACTTCTTACACTGATCTCTCCTGCTACCTTCTGGCCAAAGTGTTTATTGTTCTCACAATGCTTTCAAATTCATGAAATCCAGCAAATGGCTCAAACAGGAGGGGAAAAAACCAAAAAACCAACCAATCAAAGAAACCACCCAAACCCCACAAGAAGTGTTGTGCCTGCCACAAATTAAACTTCTCTGCTCTTCATTTGCATTCTGGGCTTGCCAGCAGATGCAGTTGGAAACTCTTGCAAAGTGATACAGAGGCTTTGGAAAGCCCAGGATCAGGAAGCTGAAAGAGCTGAAAAACTGCATTTGAAGGAGAATTACAGCTGGAGGTGATTTGTAACTGCAGCAATGGAGTATAATACAGGCAGCACTTGCAGCACTGCTTTCAAAATTCCTCAGAATTTCTAGAGGAGTTTTAAAAAACAAACTAATCAAGAAACGTGGTGGTCAAAATTTCCTGGGCTGGAGGAAAGATGTCTTGATGGGGTTAAGGAATGGGTTTGTGCCCCAAGAAGCTGTTACACCTAAGTAAGTCTTCCAGAGGTGTGGATGCCTGGCTAAGCAAGCAGCAAGTCTGAACCAGCAAGGAATGCAGCCCAAGCTTCTGGCTTCAGGCAAAGAAGAGGCTGATAAGAAAATGAGGGAATGCAAGTGCCAAAGTGCCTGGTGCCCAGGATAAGGATATAGTGAGGAAGTTGTTTCCTGCAACTGAGGTGCTCTCAGGAGCTCCAGTGCTTGGACGAGGGTAGCTGTCAAGGGCTTTCTCACTGAGGCTTCTCACATCAAGTTCTGCTTGTGGACCTGGCTCTTTCTGCCAACAGGTGAGTCTGTTTGCATGGCACAAACCTGTGGATATAATACTTCTTTAATTTAATACGACTGGGAATTATGGGGCTATGCTTTGGTGTTGTGTCCTTTAGGCATCCCTGTACCAAGGGTGTGCTTTGAACAGCGCTAAGGGTCTAATGGAACAGGCAAGGAGGGGAGGGTGGGACTCAAAGGACAGCCTCAGACACGGTCATTTGCTGTGGGACTTTGGGAAAATCCAAATTATCCTTTGGTGGATAACTCACTCTGTGAAACAGGAAACATCAATTAAATCCCTTACATCTTGTTCTCCAGCAAAGCAGTGCAGGGACTTGGAAGAAGATGGAATGATTTAAGTACACAGAACTGGCCTGTTCTTGTCTTTAAATTATTTTGAATTAATTAGTTTTTTATCTACTTTATAGACATATATAAAGTTTTCCAATTATATATGTTTTAGTAGCATCAGTGGGAGAGTTCCCATTTGTTGACTGAGTTTGCGTATTTGGAAATCTGGGTGAGATGTTTAAAACTGTTCACTGATGTCATCTGCTGCTTTTCAGCTCTTTTTCCTTCCTCATCTCAGCCAGTTTTTAGCTGAAAATACTGGTAGGGATTGCACATAGGGGATAGCTTGGAAAGGTAATGAATTTGTTTAGAAATAATTTCAGCATGGGCAGGCATGAAGGTTTCCCATCACTTAATTTGTAATTTGAACCATAATCATTCCTCCCTCCCTTTCCTTTACTTTCTTCCCTCCTCACTATGCTGTACAGTAATTTTAGGAATGGCACTTGGGAAAATTCCAAATGCCAGTTGTGCTGTGGCTGACCTACAGAATAAAACTCACCTGGGCATGGTGAGAAGGGATTCTTTTGTGAAGTGCTGTTCCACTGACACTGGGAGTTACTGCTGAGCAGGAACCACAAGCACTTCAATTTACCAGGAAAACCCTGAGTAAAGACAAAATCCTGGCTGTTCTTGACAGCCAAGAAGAAAATATCATCAACTGCTGGTTCTAATTGATTCCTCTTTCTTATTTACTTTAAGTAAATGTACTTTGAGACTGCTTGACTGGAGTGGAAGTGATGGACTGAGCTATTCTGGAAGGGATACCCAGATTTTTTTCAGCTGATCCTGAATATCCATGCAGAATGTTTTTCTCCTATATAGAGTGGGAAAATTAAAAATTTTGAATAAATTTTCTATTTGCTCTGAAGAAAAATCTGCATGTATTCAGTTATTTTAGAAACCAGCACAGAATTACTGATTTCATCACAATCACATCAGTTAGCATAGTTACCATACCAAGAAAAGGGTGGCTGGTTTTAGAGCTGCTGATATTTTCATGGCTTTAAATATTTAACCCCTGCATATAATTCTCAAATCACTTTAAAACAAACATTATCATTACTTTTATGTGATAGGGAATAGTTAAAAATCATCATGTGCAATGGAAACGCCTTACATTTCATGAGAGGAGGGAGGAGGGGTTTTTGTAAAGTGTGGAGCTGCTGTGGGTGAGCTCATTGAGACGCTCCAGTTTGTGTCTGGATTTCGGCTGACAGTGGTTCCAGGTGAGCTGCTCCTCCTTGGCTGGAGGAATGTGGGGATGATATTTCCATTTACTCCCATTTACAGTTCCAAAATGGAAAAAGAAAATGACAGAAGCACAAATCATTTCTCTGCCAACTACAGCAGGCAGTTTGGGGAAGTAAAATGAGGATAATCCGTAAAATTCTGCTTGCAGCAATTGCTTTCAAAGCTTTGGTCTAATATAGCAATGGGGCATCTTCCCAGGGATATCACTCAGAACAGAAAATGCAGATGGGTAAGAAAGAGTGGAAAAAAAACAACTGCAAATGGGTGGATATAAGCAAATTATATCACATTATTCCCTGTGCATTTAGATGAACTTAATTCACAGAGATGGTCACACAGAGATTAAAGTTTAATTAAATTTTTATTACTTTATATTTTATTTTACTTTAATTTTTTTATTCATTTTAAAGTGCCTTTTTCTTTTTATTATTTACATTTTATTTTGATTCAGAGTCATTTAACTCTTGAAGGCCAGTAGCAACTGAGATCCTTGCTAATAAATCAGATGTTTCCAGTTCGATGTCATTCTGCAAATCCAGACCTGAATTTGTTTCTGGCTGGACAAACTGGTTGTGGTTGCCTGTCCAGTGTTACATGAGAAAGGACTGGGAAGCTGCTGCCTGTTCAGAGACAGAGACACCATTGTTTGTCCCGTGTGGAAGGGTTTGAGGTTACATTTGAGAAAGGAAAATTTGGATTAAAATCCTACAATGCTTTTTTTTCTTTACATCAGCAATTGGAAAAAGATCTAGAAGCAGTGCATGAGATGAAAAATGAATGACATGCATCAGTCTGCTTTGCTTCATTTATTTTTTAACTCAATTATTTTACAACCCTTTCTATGGTACTGAAAAAACTTGTGCAAATACCAGCTTACTTTTTGTCATGGGATTATATCTCACATTAAAATTCTGTTCTCAGCATAAGAACTTCTGAGCTTGTTTTTTTTTTTTTTTTCTTTTTGTCTAAAAGATTATTTCTCCTTAAATAAAGGTAGTCCAAGACCAAGCCCAAATATGGGAAAACAGCTCTATGAAATCTCTTGATTTACAGCTAAACTAGACAGGAGAAAATCAGTTTTTGTCCTCAGCAGTAACCCAGTGTCCCTGAAGCCAAAGTGACCAATTTACACTGTTTTCAGCACAAGTTAGTGGTTTTTTTCTCTCATCAACTCTAGAGCAGCCCCTACAGCCCTGTCGAGTGAAAAACATGTGGCTTTGTAGTTTTATAGTGAAATTCTAATGGAGAATTCTGAGAAGGAAAGTGGTTGGAGCAGAAGCATGTGGTTGTCCCAAACAGCTGCTCTACATGGAGACCTTGGAATTAATACTCAGAAGTGCCTTAAAGAACAGGGTGTTTTACACCAGGCTGAAACAAGTGATTCTTCATGTTCAAGTTGTGAGAACTCAGCAAGTTTTGAATTCAAAATTTTACAAAATTTCTTGAGGTTTTTGTGAAGTTTCTTACAGTTGTGATATACCGCTTTTGATTTTCCGTCAAGGAAGAGCTTAATGATAAAGTCAAGATTCTGAAGAACAGTAAAGAACTTGATCATTCCAGAGTAGCTATGAAACAGTAAAAGGTTCCTGGGATAGTGTGGCTTCCACAGATTTTAAAATCCAAGTTCAGAGTGTCATTTTGAGATGTTCTTGTGATAACTTCCACAGCAGTGGGAATGTTGGAAATGGCAATGCACTCAGCTTGGGACAAGGACTGCTCTGAAGGTAAATCCAAGTGAGTATAATAGAAGAGGAATAAGGAAAAAAACAATGTGAAGGAAAAAGAATTTTTTTAGTATATTCCACTCTTCTGTTTGCATGTAAGTTATCAGAGTTACTGATGTGTAGTTGGTCTTGTGTAGTCTAGAAAAAGAAAATACTGAATTTGGGGGCTGCAGGCCAGTTTCTAGAAATCTCTTTGCATTTGTTGGAATGCAAATAGAGGCAGAAATAGAGAAGTTGCTCTGTAAACGGCCTGTCTATAATTTTATTTACACAAGAAGATTATAGAAGTGTTTGTGGTTTCGTTGTTGTTTGGTTTGGTTGGTTTTGGGGTTTACTGTTTCAATTTTTGGGTTTGGGGTCCTTTTCCCCCAAAACTGGACATGTGAGAACAAAGGCAGATTCATATCTTAGAGAGAAATAAATCCTTAAGGCTTCATCATCATTTTGGTGCTGTTCAGGGGATGGGGACACTTGGATGAGGAGTTTAGACAGCTTTGATGTGAGATGCCTGATGTTGCAGGCTGGTGTATGCTGCAATACGATAAGCACCAACTGAGGTGGATGTACAAAGTGCTGTAGGAAAATTTTGCTCCTGTCTTGCTTTTTCTTGTTCATCTTCGCATTCACAATTAATTATTGTGATTTCTACAGTTGCTGCTATGACAGGAGGATAGACCACAATTTGTAATAGAGCTGGGCTGGTGAGATAGGGTCCCACAGCTCTGGGATTCACTGTATGAAATTGTCATGAGGATTTTTTTCAAGCATTTCAATCACAGAATGGTTTGGGTTGGAAGAGACCTTAAAGACCACCTCACTCCAACCTCCTTCTCCAGACCTTGTCACCTTCCCCAGGTCAGATTTTGACCTAGGAAGCTTGAGAAGAAACACCATGAGAGATCTTTGAGCGCACATCAAAGCTGAAAATCTCCTTTTACTCAGAAGCTGCTGCCAGCAGTTTTAGTAAAGCTCTTTGTCGCAGTGAAACTCCAGAGGTAGCTACGAGAAGCTGACTTTTGGAAAAGGGACAAAACTCTCTGTTTATCCAAGTAAGTGCCAGAAATTTATCAAAAACTGAACTTTATAATACTGTCTTGGTTTGAACAGGCAGGTGTCTGTTTAAGGAAGGCAGGAGCCTCTCTCTTGGAATGGAAAATACAAATTCCTTCTTTTTGAATTTTTATAATTTTGAAATTAAAAGGCTTTCAGGTAAAGATATAGGAATAGGAATTACAGTTTTTTATTAGGAAAGCTAAAAATACAAATGTAATAGTACAAACAAACAAAAAACCAAACAAACAAAACCCCCTATTGACAGAGTCAGAATATGACTTGACACCCCATGGGTCAAGGTGGTGGTAGTAGTCTTATTAAATGGTGGTTGTAATCTTCTTGGAGTGACAGGTGTGGCTCTGCTGAAGTTGTTAATCTTGTAGAAGGATGGCATTTTACTCTGAAAGTCTAGTGGTGGTGGTCTTTTTTTGGGAAATTAGTGGAGAACAAGGCTGTTCTTCTGGGAATTTAGTGGGAAAAGGCCATTTCTGGTATTCTAAATCTCAGATTATATCCAGGTAGGAGTGTTTGGCTCTTCTCTTTGGGCGGAACATCTCCCAGTGGGATGATGGAATTTTATCAGCCATTCAGTGACAATGGCCATGAACAGAAGAGATCTCCTGGAGGGAGGATTGGTTGTGGAAGAGATAAAGAAAACTGCCCAATGAACAGAGGATAACTGCCCCACCTCTAACAGATGGAAAACAGAATACCCCCAAATGATATTTTACAACCCAGGACAAATATTGAGATGAGCTTTGGCCATGGCAGGTTGGATGGGCTTTGAGGAACCTGATCTAGTGAGTGACATCCCTGCCCATGGCAGGGGGTTGGAATGAGATGACCTTTAAGGTCCATTTCAACCCAAACCATTCTATGTATCTGTGATTCAGGGGGTTAAAGATAATCTTTTTTCCTAAATGACAATCTTTCCAATACCAAGAGTAAGTGGATGTGTCACCTTTCAGATATAGAATAAGTGAATATTTATCTTGAGACTGTCAGACTTGTGAGTCTGGTTGACTCCCTTTCAGCAAGATATTCAAGGTCAAATCTGCCATCCCAAGAGGTTTTGGCTATAGTAAAATTGCAGTGAACCCTGGATTGTGAGAAGAAATGATGATGTCTGGCTCCAGATCAGAAGGCTGAAGGATAGCTTTATAAAAACTATATTATATTGCATTAATATACTATTTAAAGAGATACTATACTATTTTACATACTTCTTACTTATTTAACTGACAAAAGTCGTGACTCTCTGCTGAGAGTCTGAGCCACAGCTCAGGTCTTTCAAGATACCTCATTTCCATGAACATGTACTTCAGAGGGTCAGTTTCTTTACAAATCAAGGTTTATATAAGTTTTACCTTTAGAAATTAAAAACTGCATTTGATAATTACTCCTTTTTAATAAGTAAGGGGAAAGTCTGTCATAGATCATAAATTTCCATGGCCAGGATTTTGTAAACATTTTCCAAGGTGTAACTCTGGAGGTGAAAATCAAGAGCTTAAATAAAGTAAAGCCAGAAAGAATCATGAGAGGCTGTAGGAAAGAAGTGTCTGTGTTTCTGAGGATTGCAGGCAGGTAGATATGGGCAAAGATGTTCAGTCCTAGGTCCTTATGGAGATTAACTGATGATTTGGGAATTTTCTTATCCTAAGATTCCAGAATTGAAGTGGGGAATGCTATGTGAATACTAATATTTCAATATTCCAGAAATTTGATGTTTAATTTATATCTAACATAGGATTTAAAATCACTGGAATAGCAAAGGCTGTGAAGAATTTTTACATATCCTTACCTGACCTTGATCACTGAAATCTATTGATGGAAATTTTTTTGAGTGTCTTCATCTTCCAGCAAGTTTTCTATAGCATTTTTTTTTTTTTCGCAGCCTGCAATTTTAGTGTTCAGAAAATATCAGTCTACATGGCTTTTCATCCCAAGGTAGACTATCAGTAGGAGCAGGGGAGAACTTAGTGGTTTTAGAAATATTCAGTTTTTATTTATCTGCAGGTGAAATAAATGCAAAGCAGCTTTCATTTCAACTAGAGTGGCTCAGTGTTTTGGAAGAGACTATTCCTGCCTGTGAGATTGGATGTGGTACAAGCCTTTAACAGAAGGAAAAGCAAAACCTCACTGCTGCAGTGTGTTTTGCCAATGCTCACCAGGAGCAACTTCTTTTCATTTTAAGCCAG